TTAATCTAGTAGGTTAATGCGGGGTAAGTGATCTCTAGTGGTTAGTTAGGTCCTAATGTAAGACACTGATTTTCCTGATTTTCCTGCTGCCTACTACTGCCGAGGCTGATAGTTTAGCTGCAGGGTTGACACGGCATGTCTTGTTCTAGTACTTAGTCTCTTATCTTTGCGTTATTGGGAATGATGGATTGATTCTGTTAGGGGATTGGTTGGTGGTGGATGTGTTGTGTGTGTGGCTGTGTAATGCATTAGTACTATTATTTAGAGTAGGAGTATGTTTGAAGCAGAGATGTGATTGTCGGATACTCTAGTTGGTGGTGGTTAAATATGCTGCGGAATGGGAGTGAGTTAGTATGATCTTAGTTTCCATTGTGGGAGTGGAGTATCATGATGTTCATGACGATGGTGGTGGTAGTGTAGTGTGATATATACTATGCGTAGGTGAGGTGGATTGCATACAAGTAGTACCTTTATTATCATGGTAGTACCACTAGTACCTCTACTATACATCAGTTCGGAAGTATATTTCCATTCCACATTACGTATATATAAATATATATCGCATCCTATATTTAGTCTGTAGTGTAGTGAGTAGTAGTGATAGACAGAGCGTAATACCTCCGAGCGGAAATTCCATGAGGATTCTATTAGTATATCGTATCTCAATTCTGGATAGATAAATTGCAAAATAAAAACTACCGAGGCGAAATGTTTTTTTCTCCTTGCATGTGTAGATAAGTTACCACTTACTTAGTAACTGAGGATTGACCCGTGATCTTCTTTCCTTCCCCCGACCGGACGGGGCTGGCCGGGGGAAGTTTGAACGGCTGTATACAAGCAATCTGATTGGTGGGATTCGCGAACGAATCGGCAAGGCGGGATTTGCATTCCTTCAGTTTTGAGTATTATTAATCGTCTGCCCGTCGACCACTTTGTAGTTAGGTTAGTTAGTTATCTGTTGGACTTAGTTGTATCTAAGTTAATACCATAGAGTTATAATACAGGAATAAATAAAGATAGTAATACATTCATTAAGTCATCATCAATAATATCCTTAGTTATTAACTGTGATATCGTACAATCGTAAGAGGCTTCCGCCATTTCTCGTACGTAGCCCTGCCGCACAGGGTTCTCATTTCCCTTAACCATGGGTCAGCCATCACATCATCCATCCATTCATTTTATGGCGTGGTTAGTAAGTAAGCAGTGTGACTCAACAACGCCCCCTTCTAACTAACTATAGCTGGGAAAGGAGGGAAGAGTCGACGTCACCTGTGGCTGACTCCGCTGTGCTGTGCCAATTGTCCAGTTGCCACTTGGAGGGGAGGAGGAGGTAGGTGGTAGGGTAAGGGAGGGATGAACTCATCCCCTTTGGCTTTTTCTGTGACCAAATCCGCATGTATAGATGGTGTAATCACAACTACATAAGACATGCTGTACTGTGACCACGGAATAGATCACCTATTTAAGAAAAGAAGAAATTATAATATATACTTTTAAGTTGGATAAAAGGCATAAAAATTGCAATACCGGCAGTGCCAAGGCCAGTAGACTAGGCTGCACTCTGCACTCTGCAAGCTGAGAGCTGAGAGTAGACCGCCATGTGGGAATGAATGGATGGGGGGGATTGTGTGTGTGTGTGTGTGGGAGATGTGTGGATGAACGGAAGGATCGGGCGGACAGACGGGATAGGATGGAAGTTCTAGAAAAAATAAAAAATAAAAAAAGATGATGTGTGGGCGCGAGGGAGGGGAGTCAAGTCAGTTCACTTCAGTCAGTCAGTCAGTCAGTCAGTTAGTGTCTGCCGAAGGAAGGGAAGGAAGGAAGGAAGGAAGCGGGCGGGCAGGGCGGCCAGAACAGCAATCCATATCCATTCATTCCTCACTGACCACCTACTAACCAGTAAACTAGTCACTATTAAGGTAGGTGGTTAGGCTGTTACACTGACTCGTTGTCGGTGCTTTGCTTGCTGAGAAACCTGTACTTGTTTAGTATCTGGGCCGTCGTGTCGCTTTGTGGCTGGCGATCGACGGGACATGAACCCTTCTCTCCCCCAGGGTTCGTGAGTTTAAGAGTTTTAACGGTGAGGGTAAAAAGGGAAGTACTTTGTACACATTTCGAAAAACTAAACATTATTAATGTGTGGATTCAAACAGTTAAGTAAAACAAATTGCACAATAGTAGTACGTACCTCAACCCAAGATGATGGGGAAAATGGGGAACCCAACTTGTTGATGTCATTTGCTTAGTTTCAGTTTCCAGGGTTGAATTAGAGCCACATTGGATCAAGCCCGCTCATCGTCATTTTAGCCGGTATCTAATCTAGACCCTCGAAAATGATATTGAGAGCAGGAGTAATTTGGGATGGCCGAAACATTTCCTCCCCGGTGACGATAATGACGATGAAGAAGATGGAGAGGACAAGTATGTTTAACCAGTACAAGTTAGTGTAGTGAGCGTGCACCAAGTGATTGAATAATAATAATAATAATAATAACAACCAGCGCAGGGAAATTAAATCATCCCTCCTTCCAGCGCCCGGCTAAGGCGCCAAGCCCCGCCCGGGAAATTCTAGAAAACCAACAGAGTCCAGCCTGGAGCTAATGAGATCGCTTGCTTAAGCGTCATCTTTCTCCACTTTTTTTTCCTTTCGCTCTCTTTCTGTTTTCTTACACTCTCTCCGCTCACTCTATCTCTTTTCGGGTTGCCTGTTTCTTTCCTTTTTCCCTGTACTGTCATTTGTGGTTCCTTTGGTTCTGGACGGGCAGCAACTGAGGGGGGGTTTACGTATCCTGTGTCCTTAATCTCTCCACTGGTTCTTGTGGTTTCTTCGTTCAGGGCAATTGAATCATAGTGATCATAATAGTCATTATTATGAGTATTAGTATTAATATTATTATTATTATTATAATACTCATTGGGCATAATAATGCCTGAATAAATACTAATTTTATCAATTTTATTCTGTTTTTGTTTTCGTCGTCATTAGGTTGAATTAATGAAGGTGGAAATTCTCGGGAGGTGCAATGGTAAGTCACACATTCCTGCAATGAATCTGCATCCTGGCGACTTCCATCGAGGTTCTAGTCGAATTCCTTACATCGGTCAACCGAATACAGGCAACAAACGCGGAGTCCAGATGCACCACCAAGAACGAGAGCGAGCGAGCGAGCGAGAGAAAGAGCAGGGAAGTGGGGAGGGACACACAGCCGATCGTACCTATCTAGCTTAGACTTGACTCAGGTCAAGACTCGACTCTAGTAACAAAGTAAGTATCTAACCCGGGATTAATCTGTTCAGCTCCGAGGCACGCCCGTCACTAGTCGGAGGAGTCGATTGCATGGTCAGATCGTCCCCATCCTATCGGAAACCTGAAACCCTCGAGGGGAACGAAGTCGGAGGAGACAGACAGACAGACACTCAGACACTCAGACAAAATAGTAGGCTGAGTGGCAGAGTCGAGGCTGTTTAGTCACTTTGGTGATTGTTGTTGTTATTGTTATTGTTGGTTGGCCTGTGTGTATGTGTGTGTGTATCGGATCTGTAATCACATTACCATACGGGATACCCACCCACAGCCTTCAATTGGATCTGACGACGACGACGCAAGCCTGCCGTGCCGCAGAGCTTCTGGAAGACTGGCAGAATCCGCACGAATCCCCAGCAGCAGGAAGTACGAACCTTGTTGAGCTTGTGGTGGTTAAGTTGCTGTCGAAGAACTCTCTGCTTATTTGTAGTTTACTACTAGTTAGATTATAGTGAGTTAAATGAAGAAATGTCATGTCAATAGCCTGTCAGTCAAGAAGTGTGTCTGGTTTCTTCATCTTGACTGTCAATCAAGACTTCATCTTGGGTTCATCTGGGGAATTCTGCTAGTGATTCCAATTCTCCATCTTCTGCCCGCATTGTCCACGAACCTCTTTTCCCTCTAGTCTCTAAGGTCTTCTTCCTCTTCCTCTCTCTGTCTCCTCTCCTCTCCCTCTCTCCTCTTCTTTCTCTTCCCCCTCTCGGTCTTCTTTCCTTCCTGCTCGGTTCCTCACCACCAGCACCACCACCACCACCGACTTACCACCCCGGTCATTCTCTCATTCTCTCCTTCTTTCTCTTGTCTCTCTTTCTCCCTCCCTCTCTCTCTCTCTTTTCTTTTCACCCTTTTCTTATCATTTCTAAATTCTTTCTTACATAACTCAAAAAAAGCTTTCCACTCCATCCACTGTTCCTTTGACATCATCCGTGTCTCCTCTCTTGACATCCTCTCTTATCTCCAACTCTCTCACTCTCTGACCCTTGGGTCCCTTTTCCCCTTGATTTCCCCACGACCACCACCACCACGATCTACTGATTTCATATTTTATTCCCCGTTTTTCTCCTTCCCCCCCCTCCCTCGATTTCCGAGAAGTGGTTCACTGGGGATTAAAAATTACAGATCCCTTAAAATATTTCTTATTTTATTTTATATATTTATCACTTATTTTTACCCTTTTTTTTGTTCACATTTTACCTAATCCATCGTCTTTTATTCTTTTTTTTTTTTTTTTTTTTTTTTTTTTTTTTTTTTTACTACTCTGCCACAACCCACATCCCAGCCCAGACCCGACCCGGTCGAACCATCCACCCAAGCCAACCTTCGCCCACCCGTGCGGCCCCTTCGCCCTCTCCTCCCGATCGATCTTCTTTTCCCTCTCCACCCTTCTTCTTTCCTCAAAAGTCTCGTGTCATCTTTTCTCCGTCTGGTCTTCACGGTGGCCCACCATGACGCCCTAAGTCTTTGGTTCTCTCTGGGTCGCGAATTTCGTCGCTTTCATCTAGCCGAATTCTCGCATGTGTCGCGATCTCTCTGTCTTCCCCCGTTGGGTTGATTTCACTCGGGCGCCATCTTCCTCCCCCCCGTGGGTGACGAACTGACTACACACCACCACCACAACCACCTTCACCACTACACACCACCACCACTACTACCACTCCCACCTCTCTCACCATTGACCGAATTCCTACCATTCTCTTCGCCTTTTAAATTTCCTTCTTACCTCTGTCGACCTCTCTTCCACACCTGTGAGTGAAACAATCCTGTGTGTTTGCGTGGGCAACTGCCTGTGTATGCAGGTGTGGCGATCGCAGCCAACCGCCGTCTGGAGGCGTGCATGCGGTGCCGGTGCAAAAGAACCCGGTTGTCTCAGAATGGGTTTTGGCTGGTCCTGCACGTTACCATCATTCCTCTCCCCCCCCCCACAGGGTCGAAGGATTATCGCTCATTCTCCTGCTGGACAGCTGCGGCCAACAAACTCATTGTTCAACTGCGCGCACCCCCCTCGACGGCGGCTTGTCGCCGTCGCTCATCTGCTTCGCTGGTCGCTGCACACTCTTCTTTCTCTTTTTGTCGCCTGCTCCTGTTGGCGCTCGCATATTCTGCAGACCGTTGCGTCCAGTCTCTGACCCTCGCTGACCCAGTCTAGAAACCAATTTAGAACCCAACTGTATAACGTCACCGATCGCAAGTCTCTCCTTTTTCACTTCGACTTTCTCAACGCTCCTTCGCTCCTCTTTGTACCGTGTACCGGCCGTTCGTTCCTCCCTTGAGATTTCCCGACCCTTCCACACCACCTGTACTACTATATCCATCAACCATATGAACCCGAGTTCGGACCGGCTAGGCTGCTATATATTCTCCTCTCACATCTGTTATTGTCCTGAGACTTGACATTCCGGAGTGGAGCCCCCCCCCCTAGATGATGGGCGTTTCAAATCCAACCGACACCATGGATGGCATCGAATGCTCTGCAATTTATATCGACCACCGTGTCCGATCAGAACGCTGGGTGTATCAAGGTACTCCGGAAGCACCGGCAGGCGCGGAGTCGGATTCGGGAACAATCGAGGAACCGGAATCGTTGTCGGCCGACGTTCAAGTTCTGTTAGGAGTTTGTAAACGCATCTATCTCTGTCAGGTCGGCACCGCTATCGCAAACAAGTTAGCAGAGATAAGCGACGGGGCTCAGAGTCGCTGCACACCTATCTTCGTTTTCTTCGACATTGATATACACGGCGAGGAGGCCGCTCTGCAGCGCCGCCGAGCGAGCCGCGGTTCGTGGCCCGATGTATCGCCTCCGTCGCCGGCGTCCCTGCGTCGCGGTTTTACATTCACCTCACAGTGGGAAGGGGCGTACGACCTGAAGTTGCTGTCAGGCTTGTCCGCGGACATCCAAGTTCAGGATGGCCCCAACGTGATCGTTCCGGTCGCTGTTCTGCGCCCTCCCTTCGCCGACCCCACTAGCGCCTCCCCGGCCGACCAACCCCGTATTCCGTCTTTCCCTGATCCTCAGCATATCTCCAAGTGCCTGGATGCTGGTGCCGTGGACGTGTTAGTAACCCCGTTGGATAGCTGTAGAGCTCAAGCTCTGGTTGTCCAGGCGTACCGGACTCGTAAAACGGCTCTCCGGGAACAGTCGCGCTTCCTCTCCCGAAAGAAACTGCGGAAACACTCGTGGGTGGGCGTCAATGACGAGCAACCCTATGCGTATCTTCGAGAAGCCATGGTCTCCAAGCTCATGCGAGGCATCTGCAATCCCGAAGAGGTTATCGAGGAGTTCCAGGACCGGGAACTGGACGTTCGTCCGGACCGCGCGGATTTCGTAAGAGAACACATTGCACAATGGGGTTTTACCGCCCATGAGTTTTCGGACGACGAATTGGTCTTGGCTGCATTTGAAATGCTGCAGCATGCTCTGCAATACCCGGAACTGGAGCAGTGGCAGCTGACACCAGGTAAGTAAATTGCCGCATAAATTGGGTTAGTGTAGGTCAACTGACGACGGGACTCCCTTTCCTAGGTGAACTTCGCACGTTTCTTCTCGCCTGTCGCGCCTCATATAATTCCTTCGTTCTTTACCATAACTTCCGACACGCAATCGATGTGTTGCAATCGGTCTTCTGCTTCCTGTTGCACATCGGCGCTCTTCCCCCCTACGGGCCTAATAGCCCGACGGTCGGCGACAAATGTCCGATCGCATCCCTCCTCACTCCGTTCGATACCCTTACCCTTTTGATCTCCGCCATTGGCCACGACGTCGGCCATCCGGGCGTGAACAACTTCTTCCTGGTCAAACTGAATGCCCCGCTGGCACAGCTATACAACGACAATTCAGTCTTGGAGGCATTCCACTGTGCTGCCTTCTCCCAGATCCTGCGTCGTTACTGGCCGACCGCATTCAAGGATCGACAACTTCGCAAGCTTCTGATCAGCTCTATTCTCGCCACGGACATGGGAGTGCACCAGAAATTCATGGAACGGTTGGGGTCGCTCCAGGAGAAGTTCCACGAAAACAACCGGACTGTGGATGGGTGGAAGCCCCAAGACTTGGAGCTTTATAAGACACTGCTGTGTGGGCTGCTGATCAAATGCGCTGATATCAGTAACGTGGCGCGCCCGTGGGATGTTGCGGAGAAGTGGACCCAGATCCTGCAGGAGGAATTCGCCAATCAGGGCGAGATGGAGAAGGAGGTTGGGATGGAGACTGCACTATTCGGCGGCCCACCGGAATTAGGGAATATTTACAAGCTCGCCACCGGCCAGATTGGATTTATGTCGATTTTCGCTTTGCCGCTGTTCGAGGGCGTGTCTGACATCCTGCCCGACCTGAAGTTTACGGTCGAGCACATTCGCAGCAACCAGTCGAAATGGCATTTCCTCGCCGACATGGAGAAGAATCGGCAAACCCTGCAGACTGATCTTCGTCCGGACGACTTGGTGTCGCCCCGCACTCAGAGTCCCATCCCAAGTTTGAGGGGCCTCCACGCGCCGCTAGCCATCAATAGTCCGAAAACCCCCATCAAACCAGCCCTTCCGACCAGTGAACCTGCGAGTCGGCGGTCAACCCCAGATGATTACTTTGGTACCGCTCCTACCCCGCTGGGCTCGGACGATGCGCCCAGCGACTATAATGAGAACACTATTAGTCCCGTTGTTTCGCCGGACACGCCGGGCCCGTCTATGGACATCACCGGGTGTTCGATGCCCTCGCCAGATGAGGCAGCCTCTCGCAGATCTTCTGGGGTCATGCCTGAGGGGCAGGCCAACACGCCTTCTGCTCGTCTGAGCGACAATATGGACGGTTGCTCCGACGCAATTCGTGCTTCGAGTGACCCCACCGTTCTGGCGGCTGTCCTGTTTGCCAATGGCTCTGCTGCAGGTAACGGCGACACGTCGGGTCGCTCCAGTGCTCGTAACAGCTCCGTGGAAGGGAGACCGAGTAGCTCGCGACATGGGCCGCCTAGTGGTCGACGCCAGCACGCGAATACAGCGTCGTCGGGACGCACATCGGGGCCCTCGAATTCACAGCGGAACAGTTGCACTCGCACGCACAGCGTCAGCACCTACAGCAACAACATGACACCGATCTCTCCGTCTACGAATGCCACTAGTTTCCTCAGTGTGGACAGCGATGACAAGGGCTTCCCCCGCGAAAGCATCAGTCGGAGTGACGGCGAATGGGACCGGGCGTACACGCGACCGGCCACATCGAACCACCCACAAGTCAGCGCTGCATACCCGAGCACTCGCCGGGCCTCCGATCCGCACAATTACGATGCTGCCAAGGTGACGTCGCCGGTGGGGAATGGGACGAGCAGCTCGGCACAATCCACGACGACGACTGGAAGCATGAAAAACGATGGGCGTGGGCCCCGGTGGGACGAGCACGGGTCCAAGGAGCACGCACCACCGCGCAAACTGCCGAAGCGACGAAGCCGACTGCGGTTGGCGTTCTGGAAGCGGCGCACACATCACTCGCATCAGCACGAGCTGAGCGGGGAGACGTGATGGCCCGGAAAGTTGATTGGATTTCAGTTTTCTCTTGTTTTCTCGTTTGGGATGATTCACGGTGTTCCTGGCGGGTTGGATTTTCGCGAGTGAGCAAAACGTGGGTTGGGATTACATGGGCACATATGAATGGGAAACATTCTGGTGACGACTCTGGATTTTATGATGGAATTGCATGATTTGACGACCGGCTCGGTGGATATAGCTATATCTGAGCTTTTGACGATGATGCACAGCCAGACATTGCGCTGGTCTAGCTGGCATGGCACTTGACTTCTTCGATACTCTTCTTTTTTTTTTTTTTCTTCTTCTTCCGATCTTTTTTCTCTTCTTTCACTTCACATTATCCATTTTACACATTGACCGTTTCATTTTCATTTGTCACCATACAGAGGCGGGCAGGACGGGGCAACTAGAGACGGGGCGTGGACTGGCGTTCTGGAGGTGGCTCAGGCAGGACTGTACTTGATATTTTGTATGGGTTTATTCCTTTTTAAATGGACTTGAGCATATATGCTTGTCTGCATTTACATGATGATTCTATTTGTTGAGTAGATGATCACTGACACTCCTCACACCTGTCACCTTCTTTCGTAGTAGCAGCAGTAGCAGCAGTAGAACCCTGCTCCTCACTCTTCCCCACAACCTTCATCTCACCCTCTTCCTGACTCTGCACCGGCACATTCGCAGCCCTCAAGGCCCGATCCGTATGCCCCAAATTCCTACTAGGATCGACGACATTTCTCACCAGACTTTTCAACACTTTGACTTCTACAAAGCCAAGCTAATTAGCAAATCATCCCATCGCAGCTCTACACCCATGCACCAGGAAGAAGAATAAAGAAATAGAGAAATGGAAGAGAAGGATAATACATAACATACCAGAAAACCCCCCATTCGTCTTCCTATCCCAGAGAATAATCTCGGTGATATCATCCTCCTCCTCATCCCCAGTACCTGCTCCTGCCACTGCTACTGGTACCTCTTCACCTTGTTGTGCTGTACCCGTAGATGTAGAAGAGGCAGAGGCAGAGGTAGGAGAAGAAGAAGAAGAAGAATGATACATCGTAACAGTAAACACACCCCCCGTCGCAGGAACGAGAGCTACTTCGCCAAGCTGAGTGTTGAATGTGGAGAGGAGTTCTTGGGCGAACTGTTTTTCCAGATTTAAATAAATAAATATATTAGTTTTGGGTTTGAATGGTTTAGTTTATATGTATATGTATGTATGTATGTGTGTATAGAAGTTAGGGGAGGAGGGTATGGGGTGACTTACGTATGCAGCGCGCAGTAACCATTTACATTGAGTGCAGTATTTGATGGTGATGCGGGGGAGGTGGTTGTGCATGTTGTTTGTTGTTTCCTTGGGTTTGGTTGTGGATGTGGATGTGGGTTGGGTGAGGGGTGGGAGAGGGGAGGTCATTTTTCTTTTTTGCTTCTATATTTCGTTATTTATCTTTGGTGGTGAGGTTAGGTGATTGATGGTGGTGAAGAGGAACGGGTAAGTAATTGTGTGAAGAGTAGTTAAGTTAGTACTTAGTTAGCTAAGTTGGAGGGGATGATTGGATGATGTCAGCGGGTGGGTTAGGGGTTGGTGGGTTTAACTAATTGTTAGTTACTTAAGTTGATAACTGACTTTGCTATTGTTAACTATTAACTAGTATAGAATTAACCTAACTGTGTCTTATGTACGGCCAGTGCAGGTGTCAATTAATCTTAGAAAAGAATTCTCCGAAGTCCGGGTCGTTGCATATGATCCATTCTGTGATCTGCCTTTTCTTTACTTCGCTGCTTATCTGAAATACTGTGTAGGTATGAGCAGTTGCTTCAACTATATTAACTAGCCCATCTATACTACAAACCGGGCGTCCGATTTTGTTTTCCCCATCCCGTTTCCAATATCACTGCTAACACAAAGGAAAGATGTCCAATAAAATCACTAGAAGGGAAATGACTCCTGTCGAGCACACTCTCACGCCCAACACAAAATGAGAAAATAAAGAGAAAAAAAGAGGTGCAACTGGAAGCCCGCGGGGAGCCGTGTGTCGCGTTTCAAGGTGGAAATCAGATCATGAACTGGTCCAATGGTGCGACCGCTCAGTCCCTCCCAGTTCATGCAGGTCCAGCGCGCTCCCTCGAGGGCCAGAGCCTCGCATCCGCTTCTCCGTGGTCTCTCTTTTCTTTTTGTCGCTGACAATGCTCACCGTTCGGAGCAACAAGGCGGATGGGCTGTCCATAGGTCCAAGGTATGGTGACAGAGAATTAGATGTAGAAAGAAAAAGAAAGGGTTGAGAAGTTAAAAAAAGAAGTGGTGAGAAAAAGTAATTGTCATCGCAAGAGGGGATATAAAAGCGCCGACGGACTGACGGCGACCCTCAGTCCGTCCGAATCAAAAGACGTGGAAATGTCATGAGACCATTACATGACCGTGCAGCATCCTCCCTGCTGCTGAGGGGCGTATGGGTCCTCACGCTTGTCGACCTGCGCGACCGTCAGTAACCCGCTGTCATTGCTGCACAACCAGAAGCAAGTGGAGAAAGAATGTCGCATACCTGACCCCATACGGATGGTACCATGAAATCGCGCGTGTTGTTGCAGTAGTTGATCAACCTGGATAAAAACGCGATGGGGTAAGTATCACGCGGTGGCTGGACGAGGGGGGCGGAGCACGCCAGCCGGGGAAACTTACGACAGAGCAGCCTCGGACACCTTGACACGAGGCCGGTCGAGGTCCTCCTTCAAGCGAGCATTGAGCTCGGTCAAACGACGGTACTTGAGATCGGCCACACTCTGCTTCTTGTTCTTGACATCACCACCCGATCGGAGCTCGTAGGCAGGCATTTTGACGACGGTTGGAGCGGGGACGAAACGTGCGAAACCCGGGAAGTTAATCGAATTAAGTTGGAGACGTAAGCGCGACGATGAGATCGGGCGGCGGCGGCAGTAGCAGCAGCAGTCGCAGCGGAAGTGGAAGAGACGTTGGGGGTGGATGTGCCTGGAGGTGGAGGTGGAGAGAAAGCAATGTGATGTGTTGGATGGAAGTTGGTGGATTCAGCAGGATCGGTCGGGCGGCTCAAGCTTAAGGTTCTTTTTTTTGCGCGTCGAGCCGGCAGGAAAGTAAGGGGAAAAGCAAAGCCGGGCGGGAACGGCGGGCGGACGCGAAAAGGGAGGGAGGAAGAGGTGGGAGGAGGAGGAACTTTGGGGGGGAGAGGATGGAGACGATTATGAGGGAGGGAGGGAAGAGGGAATGTAAGTGGGAACAGCGACCGGGGGAAGAAGAGAGAAAGAGGGGGGTTTCCTCCGAGGAATTGATTTCTAAAGAATGAATGGAAGGGGGGAGGGGGGAGGAGGAGAGGCTGAACTCGACTTCACGATATATTGAACGTGAGTAGGAATCAGACGAAGGAGTAAAAAGAAGACGAGGAAGAAGAAGAATAGAATTAGGGAGAGCAGGAAGAACCAGGAGGATTTGCTGGGCAGAAAGGAAAGCGAACGACTACTGCTGGACCAGAGGAGGAAAAAGGGAAAAAAGGGAAAAAAAGAGGGGGGAAGAGGAGGGAGGGAAATAGAGAGGGAAAATGGGAACTTTAGTCTTGGTATTAGTTGAGTTTAGTTAGCAGAATTACTGGTAGTAGCAGTATAATCGGGGAGAGAGAGAGAGAGAAGAGAGAGAAGAGGTGGTCTGTGAGTCGCAGGGGCAATCCGTTCATTTCCCACTGGAATCCATAATTCTTCTTTCCCTCCCCCTGAGAGAGAGGAGAGGAGTTGGTGAACTTAACTAGTTCAGTTTAGTCGATTTAGTTCGACTGGATAGCTCGGATGCAGTCAGCACAAAAAAAGGCTGTCTAGCAGGCGTTTTTCCGTTTTGCGTCAGGTTGTACCCTCCCTCATGCAGAAGCCTCTTTTTTGCTATTCTAATTCTTATTATAGATATAGTCCATGAATTGAATTGTTTGTTGTAGCATTGATTATTTCTGGAGGAGGCTCATCAGCCTCACGTGGATGGATCACTGCTTGATCCCCATCCTATCCAATCAGTTCATCCCTGAGCACTGTTGCCCTCTCTCCTCCGTCTTTCCCCCCCATACTAGCTACCTACCAATTATACTGAGTACTCCCGCCCCCTTCATCATCAGCAACAGCAGCAACAACACTCTTGTTTGCTGTCGCAACCCTGTCAATCGTATATTTTATTTTCCATCTAGACACACTAGTCCATAGTTCAGAAGCTTGGACGCGTTCATGACAACATGTTCTTACTTCACTGCAAGTGATCATCTCGTCTCAAACGGGCCAAACACAATCCACCCGAGAGAGGAGGAAGGAATGGAGAATGGCTCCCCGAGAAGTTGGCTGAGAAGCAGAACAGCCAACTCTCAGAATATGGGGAAATAATGGCAGAAAAAAGGTATGTCTTCAATGGAATGAATGGATAAGAAAGAAATAATTATAATGTACCATAAATCATTCCCATGGGGACAATTCCCTGCAATCCACAGCCATAAACACGGGGATAAACACGTGACCCGCATCGCTTAACCCAAAGTGGGAACGCCGGCGGCCGGAATTTTCGCGGTTCGCACAACGAGAGAGTCAGAGAGCGAGAAGAGAGAGAGAGTTGCCCTTGTCTGTCTTTCTCAACAAGATTGACTGCCTGACGTTCTCTTGTCTGGGTCTTTCTCGCCGACCGTCGCGTGGCAGCCTTTCTATCTTCAGGCTCCTCCTTACGCCCTCGACTCCCTGCTGCCCGCCTGTCGTTGTGCGATCCGACGTGCCTTTTCTTCCCTTTCGACCTTCTCCCAGTCGAAGGATAGCATCGTCGTCTTCATCCACCATATTGTGATCGCTTATCCCAGCCGCTATCGTCGCCCACCATGCCGCCTCCGCCTCACATCAAGCCTGAAAATGTCCTCAAGGTACGCCAGTCCGGTTACTTGTCCCGAATACTATTCGATTATATTGTCGGAATGTTATGTCGTGGGATGGCAAAGGAAACATGTGGTGATGGAAAAATTCATGCTGACCGGTATCTTGTCCGCAGAGGGCTCAGGAACTCATCGCCGTGGGTCAGGCCCCCGCCGCCCTCAACGTCCTTCACGAACATGTCACCTCCAAGCGGACGCGCAGCAGCCCCATCGCCTCTCTGGAGCCGGTGATGCTCCTCTTCGTCGAGCTCTGTGTCGATCTTCGCAAGGGCAAGGCCGCCAAGGATGGTCTCTACCAGTACAAGAACATCGCCCAGAACACCAACGTCGGAACGATCGAGGTAGGAGAATTTTTTTTTATTCCCCCTTTCATACACTACATCCCTCCCCCAACCGCAGTATCTAACCCTTCACCGGTATAGGTTGTTCTCAAGAAGTTCATCGAACTCGCCGAGAAGAAGGTCACCGAGGCTCAGGCCAAGGCCGATGAGATCCAGTCTTCTCTCGAGTCCGCCGCCCCTTCCTCCAACGTCGAGGATCTGGAAGCCATCGAGACCCCCGAGACCATCCTGCTCGCCACCGTCTCCGGTGAGCAGTCCCGCGACCGCACGGACCGTGCTGTTGTCACTCCTTGGCTCAAGTTCCTCTGGGAGACCTACCGCACCGTGCTCGAAATCCTCAAGAACAATGCCCGCCTTGAGGTTATGTACCAGACCACCGCCCTGCAGGCCTTCCAGTTCTGTCTCAAGTACACCCGCAAGACTGAGTTCCGCCGTCTGTGCGAGCTGCTCCGTAACCACGTCCAGAATGCCGCCAAGTACTCCGCTCAGATGCACGCCATCAATCTCAGCGACCCGGATACCCTCCAGCGCCACTTGGACACCCGTTTCCAGCAGCTGAACGTTGCCGTCGAGCTGGAGCTGTGGCAGGAGGCCTTCCGCAGCATTGAGGACATCCACACCCTTCTCAGCCTCAGCAAGCGCCCCGCCAAGAACGTCATGATGGCCAACTACTACGAGAAGCTGGCCCGTATCTTCCTGGTCAGCGAGAACTACCTCTTCCACGCCGCGGCCTTCAGCCGTTACTACAACCTTCTCCGCCAGTCCGCCGCCACGCTGGCTGCTGGCCAGGGTACCAAGAAGGAGAACCCCTCCGTCACCGAGGCCGACATGACCAAGGCCGCCTCCTTCGTCCTGCTGTCCGCCCTTTCCATCCCCGTCATCAGCACTTCCCGCTCCCGCGGTGCCCTGGTCGATGTGGATGAGGTCCGCAAGAACAAGAATACCCGTCTCACCAACCTGTTGGGCATGGCCTCTCCCCCCACTCGTGCGGTGCTGTTCAAGGATGCCCTCAACAAGGGCCTGCTCAAGCGCGCCCGCCCCGAGATCCGTGACCTCTACAACATCCTCGAGGTGGACTTCCACCCCCTGTCCATCTGCAAGAAGATCACCCCCATCCTCAAGCAGATCGGTGCCGACCCCGAGATGGAGAAGTACGTCCTGCCTCTGCAGCAGGTCATCCTGACCCGTCTCTTCCAGCAGCTGTCTCAGGTCTACGAGTCCGTCGAGCTCAAGTTCGTCTACGAGCTGGCTCAGTTCCCCGACCCCTTCCAGATCACTCCCTCCATGATCGAGAAGTTCATCATGAACGGCTGCAAGAAGGGCGACCTCGCCATCCGTGTCGACCACATCTCTGGTGTCCTCACCTTCGA